AGCCTGCCGCTACAAGGAACTGAGTTGATTTCCATACTGTTTGCTTTTGGGTGGACGTTTCACAGATGAGAAGGAAGAAAAAGTGCATTTCCTCATGCCTCTTAGCTGAACAGGCCCCTTGCTGCGTGTTCTCTGGACAGAGTTTCCTGCTCTCGCATGGCCAGTGCTGTTTCAGCGCCTTCCCCTTTGTGTGTCTGAAGAGCTGCTCATCCCAGTGTCACATGTCCTGTCCAGCCAGGGACAGGACTTTTTGCAAAGCAGAGCTCAGTGTCACACAATGCAGGAGCCAAACCTGCAGGAGGCCAAACAGCAGCACAGCCAGCAGAGCTTTGCCTGGCTGGTGGCATGGCAGTGGGCAGTAGTTCCCTTCCTGGTTTTACTGTCACCCTCACTGAATTCGTACCTTTCCTATGAGGAACGGGAGAGTGTGACGTTTAGCACAGATCAGGAGAACAAAGGTCACAGTCAGCAGAAGAAATCACATGAGTGATATTTCCACAGATGACCAGTCTTTGAAGAAGGTTTATATGGTCATTTTGTGTTAGATGTGGTCTTGGTTTTTTCAAGCTTCTTCCTTTTGTCCCTTCTTTAAGTAATGTCTTTCTCCAAATTAAAAACGTCTTCTCACTCTTGTTAAAACAAGTGTGCTTAATATGTACAGTAAACTTTATTGGCTCTTCAGACAGTAATACATATGAACCTTTTCTATTTATCTGTATCTCCTTTTTTTTAATTTATTTTGTATTTTACAGTGCTGTTTTTTACTTAGTTGGTTAAAATTTAGTATTTTGGTCGTTAAGTCCTGAAATAACCATTAAAAAAAAATCACTTGTTTGAAGGAAGTGATTGTCACCGAAACTGTGTTACTTCAGCTAGTACTTGGCCTTAAGAGGAATCTTTGATTTGATTTCCCTGATCTTGGGAAGAACTCTCTTGTTCATTTCTATTTGTATTTTTAAAGCTTTATCATCAACACAAAATAATGAAGGCAGTCTGTGAGGAGGGCGGTGCCGGCACCAAGCTGGCACCTTATTTTAATATGCTACAAATCATTCAGTTTAACAGGTTTTGTACATATCAATGTATAGGGTAGGATAAAAATAGATCTGTGCATTCATTTTTCTCCTTACTGTGTATAGGAAACTTACAACCTTTCTTGCATGCATTGTGTATTCAAAGCTAAGTAGTGTTGTCCCAGAGTTACAGGTTCAGAGCTGTACAAGTGGTCAGATGATGGGAAAGGCGTTAAATATTCTTGTTATCACTACTGGAGAATGTCACAGAACTGCCCGTGTTCCTTGTATTGCAGCTGTTTGCCTGTGAAGTCTTCAGACTGCCATAGTAAATCATATTGGCAACAAACAGGAATTTAAAACGAGAAGTAAACAGTTCATTTCCAGGATTAAATGAAGAAATGCAGCTGTTCCATTGCTTTTACAGCAGCTAATAGGGAACTGCTAGGTTTTTCTGAAGGGCATGATTACAGTGAAGCTGGCTTTTCCTCCAGCTTTGAGTCATGTGCTGTATCCCAGGGCTGTTGCAATGAAATTCTTGATGTGTACCTTCTTTCCTGTTGTCTGCCTTCACATTTAGAGACAAACTCAGCAAGTGCACTCTGACTGTGGAAGACAAGCCAGTATATGAAATGTCCAGGTGTTAGTAACATAGCATTGCTATGACAAGGAGGTGCTTAGAGTAGGGCTATCTTAGGACATATTTGCATTTCTTTCTATGTTCTTCTGTATTTACCTGGTGCTGCTACAGTTATGTTAGTCTGTTCTGCTGGTGAAGAGTTAAAAAGTCCCAAAACCTTTAACGAAGACAGCGCTAGAACAGACTGAAAGATCTTGCTTGCTTCTTACAGTTCACTTAGTGCAAACACCCCTTCTTCGTAGCATTCCCCTTTTCCCTCCCACTGTTCTAGATGATGTTAAGTCAGTATTTTTTCCATTGGATTTTTAAATCTGGAATTTATGATGACCTCAGAGCAGACATTTTAAAAAAATGTTAAATTGCTGGAAAGGTGCTTTATTAAAAGTTCGCAGTGGACAAATACTTTGTAGGGAATAGCTCCTTCAGTTTCTTTTCTGGTTACTGAAACAAAAATTAAATTAATTCCTTTCATTCTTTCTCTTATTTCATCTGTTCACTTTTCTTACTAAAAGAGGCAGATTGCCTTTTGATATTTGTAGTAGCTTGTATTTCTTACCAACAAGTAAAAATGGTAAAAGACTCCCAAGTGTTAAGAGCACTCTGTGTGTGTGTGTGTGATGTAACATTTTGCTCTCTTTTGCCCACTTACTAGCACTGGCAGTACTGGATGGCTGCTTATTTTCATGTTCTGCATTTTTCCTATCAAATTACAGAAAATAAAAAGATGAAATTGTTACTAACTTAGCAGTCTTTTTGCCCTATGTTCACCCTTGCACTGCTTATCTGGAAAAAAGGATTCAAAACTCTTGCATACAGTGCACAAAATGTTTGTCATTAAAGAGGAAATTCTCAAGTTTTTCTTACAAATTGGAACATTCTCAAGACAAATTAGTAACAGTGTCTCCTGCTGGTATTGGATGCCAAAAGAGAGGAAGGTAGGAGTAATGTACTAGATGAATCTACTTGGACAGATGTATTTGCCTTTCACACCATCCTCTGGCAATGTATGTGCTGAGGAATGACCGAAATTATAGGCAGGGTTTACAGTTCTTAAGTTCTATTTGCTTATGTTTGCAAGGTGCAAAGGACAAAAAGGTTGCCAGACAAATATTATTTGTTTGTTCATTTTGTTCTGATAGAAATACTGACTATATATTTTTCAATATAAGCAGTTGCAGAAGTGTTGAAAAGACCCTCTGAAGTAAATACCATTTTCTGTTCTTGCAGGCAGCCATGCAATACACTTCATTAACTCAGACAACTATCTGAAAGAGTTTTCTGTCGTATCTCTGCTAGGGGAAGGCCACTGTAGAACATTAAGGCTTTCCTAGATATAAATCTTACTCTGATTTCAACCTTAAACTTTCCTAGCTGTTTACAGGAATTGAACTACTGGTAGTTCAGCTATAGCATGTTTTTGAAGAGGACCTGTTAAAGGCAGCTACCAGAGCAATTCAGTTGGCTAGGTAGGCTTTCAGGAGGTTCTCTTAAGAATGGTTTTTGCCAAGGGCAAAGTGGGTTTTTTTCTTTTAGGGATGCTTCATATGGACTGTTGTATTTATTTTGGGCATACTGTGCTTAAGTTGTTCCTGTCCCATGTTTTACCTGTTCAAAGCAAAGATCATGTAGGCCTTATTTCTCATAGGATACAAAGACCAGGTTTTGGTTCCCTTATACATGACAATTTCTCTTTTGTTTGTCTCTTTCTTGCCATCCTCTGCACTGGTTTCACTTAGCTCTGTTGAACTGATGATTGGAACTTCAGACACTGTGAAACGACGCACCTGGGCCCTCTGTGCCTCTAGTGTACTATTCTAGTGTTAGAGAAATCTCTTTCTTGTACTTTTTAGAGCAGTCTTTTTTCTTTTTTTTTTTTTTTCCCTGTGATCATTTTGGTTATAAACATTCATTCTGAGATGTACTGATACACTCTTCCTGCTACTCAAAGAAGCTTAGAATAGATAGGAATATATAGAGAGAATATATAGAATATATTTATAGTCCCAACTACTTCACCATTATGTACTTCATACTGGTGAATTTCATCCCATTTCTGCAAAACAGATGTAAAGGTGATTCAGCTCTTCTTGCATAATGTCGCCATTCTGCTTTTGTTTTACACTAACATTGTTTAAGCAGCAAAATGCATCTGTATGCACAAGGATTTTGCACGATGATTGTTAGCAGAATGGCAGACTTGGCACTTACTTTAGTCTTGGAGGAACTCTTCTAGCAACTTTCCTGCATCCCAGTACTTCTGCTTCCAACATGGTGTATTTTGACAGCTCTTTATTTACCAGTTATTTACCCACTTAACATTTTTTCTAATGCTGAACTAATGATTTCCTATATTTCAATATATATGTGCAGCAATCCATATTCCAGCTGTTTGAAAACTCCATGTGTCTCAGCAAGACATCATTTTGTCTGATGTGTCTTAGCTTTGGCAGATCTTCATTTATTTACTTTTGTTTGCCTCCATGACATTGATTATTCTTTCTAACGGTGCTCTGAAGCTTTGTTTTTGTACATAAGCACTGCATTTGTTACTCTTTAGTCAGATACCACATCAGTAGCTTGATAGAGCAGTTTTCAAACAGCCTAGCCATACCTGTAAATATCTGTGCTAGTTCTTTCAGACTTCTGGGGTAAATAGTATCCATGCTTCACACTCTTGCCCCCTTGGTTGTACATACTGAATCTCTTTTCATTTTTGCTGCCAGGCTGATAGTGGTAATTTCCATATCAGTGTGCAGCTGTCATCATTGCCATTGAAATTAGGGGAAGAAGCATTTGTTCCATTTTGGCCTTGATGCAAATTCCACTAGACCAAATTGGAGCTGTGTGTGTATCCATACTGAAATCCAGTTTAAGGCACGGGATATTGCCAGCTGACTGTGAGTACTAACTGGGAAAGTTGCTTTCTTGAAAGCACATTTGGCACGAACAGATACTCCTTTATTTCTTGTAGTGGGCTGTGTGCCTGGAGTTTCAACTTTTTCTTGTCCTTGACCATTTCAGTTAGTTTAATAAATGATACTGCTTCCTCCAGCTGTTTCCTGTCTCAGTTGTCCATAGTCTACCATCATTTTGGGGCATCTCTGTTATTCCCAGTTAGCAGATACATATGTCAGTACAGAGGTTTGAGTTAGGGCTGCCATGCCATCATGCTCATATTCACTTTGTGTTTTCCTTGACCAGACTGTTCATGTTGCCTGCAGATTTCAGCTGTCAGGGGTTTGAGGCTCAGTTAACGTAGGAGTTTGGGGGGAAGAAATAGCTAGGAACCCTCATGCTGAAGTATTTCTAAAATCTCTCTGAAGTGCTGGTATTTTTTTATTTTCTAGATCCCCCTTTCCCAGCTGTAGAATTTGTTTCAGTAACAGGTTCTGCACCTTTGCTCAGACTTCGGAAAGCAGAAGATCAAAATGGACCAGTCAGGTTTGTCTCTGTGCACTCTTCACCCTTTCAAAAAATATTCTGCAGATTTATGTTACTTACATATTGAAACTTTCTGTGGGAGTTAGATTGGTTTTGTTAGCAATGGGAGAAAACTTAAGCTGTAACTCCCAGTTTCTTTTCCCTTAGCAGAGTAGTATTTGGTTTCAGACTCTTCCCTGCTTTCTGAAGCAAAATTCTATGGTTTATAATTATGTGTTTTCACTGTTTTGTGGAATTTTTTTGTGGGTTTTTTTTTTTTTTTCCACCTTTATCTGCAGTGAAACCACAGTAGATTTTTGTTGATGGATCCAAGCACAGGTCTACCCATGTGATTTTTTTTTTCCAGCAAACTCATGCAGCAGTACATTTGTTTTTTCTAGGAGCCAGAGAAAATGAACAATATCTGTATTTTGGCATATTCTGAAGTAGTGTTTTACTATTAGTGTATTACTGCCAAAATATGATTTACACCTTTCTAAGTGGTGCTGTCGGTGATAAAAGGAAAAGGTAATTGTAATTCAACATTGCACTAGAACAGAAAATACTTGAAAGCTAATAACATTTCAGGATAGCGTTGGTGTAACAACCTGGTACTTAAATCTTTCTATGGTTGGATACTATAGATAAAACACTGTTTTGAGATGTCTGAAGACAAATTTGATCTTGTTTTTTTTTTTTTTTTTGCAAATGATATCTGTCCTCTCATGCTTTAAACAGTATAACTTGTTTCAGGGGCTCATTTTGTATGTATTGTTTCGTAGGTGAACTTATGCATTAGATGAGAGGAGCAAAAGATAGCCTGCAATAACTCATTTCGATGCTCTTCTGAACATGAATGAACATGTAAAGTTAACATGTTTGTCAGGAGAACAAGCTCTGATCTGTTCATGCATTGCTTTTGTTCAAAATGTGATGGTACACACAGAGAAATATTTTAGTATGAAAATCATTTGTATTGGACATCGACAATAGAAGGCAGTTAAGATGCTACAAATATGTGTGAAAAGACATTGTGAATTAATGTATTGTGAATTAGTACATTGAAGTGAGAGCTAATGTTTACTTTTTTTGTTTCACTCTAGTTTTTATCAAGTCATTGTGCTTCCTCTGGATTTGCAGAGCACCTTTATTTGTGACTCCTTTGCTGCTGCAACTTTCTTTAGTAACACCACTGATGTTAAAGGATATGTGGCAGCTGAATTTCTGGCGAAGGATGTTGCCGATAACATGCCAGTTTCTCTTGGAGACAGACATTACTACGGAAAATTCTATAATGCTCCTTTAAAGCTGGGAGAAGAGTATTGCGTGTTTTTAAGGGTAATAAGTGAATGGAATAAGGTAATGCATGTTTTAAAACCTTTCCTTTACACCTGTTGAATGAAATGTTGCTGGGAGAAGAAGAGGAAGATGTTAGCTTTGTGTTAAATTTTTTCGTGATGTTGCAGGGATCGTAGTTGACAGATTAAATCTGAAGGTCTTTAACACTTGTAATTCCTTACAGATATTACTGTAATGGTGGAGCAACTCTGAATGCCAAAAGGCAAAAATGGAAAAACCTAAAAATAAAGGGCCATCATAAATACTAGGATTGCAAATACCAAAAAGCTTTGTTTCCAAGCACTGCTTCTTTGAAATGGAACTTAAACCTGTGGCTCAAAGTACTGGTTTATCTTCAATTCTTACGCTCTTGTTTTTTGTACAGATGTTGGTATTAAGGAGTTAAGAAGTTCAGAATTATAAATTGAGGGTTGTTGGGTTTTGAGAATTTCTGAAAATCTGATTACTTAAGTAACTGAATTTTGATTCAAAAGGTAGTATTTAGAAGTCTGCTTTTTAAAAATATCTGCTCTTTAATTGGCCCTCAATTATTAATACATGTGAAATCAGCATTTCTCTAATGGATTTTACTTGTGAATATATTCCCATTTGACACATTTCACATACAGACACATTTCTAATGTGTCTGTATCATAGACTCCTAACTAATCTTCTCATTTTATACTTCTATTTTCTGGCATCCTCCAGAGTCCCCTCTGGCTCCAGACCCTTTCATGCTGATAATGGTACAATTCGTACCATACTGCTTCAAAATCATGGCTTGGTTGTGACTTTTTATTGCCGTTATTTCTTAATATACCTTATGTATTTTCTTTGTGGTAAGGGTGGGAAAATCAGTTCAGATAAAATTTTGTGGACACAGTTAAAGCAAGCTGTTCCCTTCCACTGAGTCCACATTCATTTATCCCTTGCTGAGATTTGGAGGCCCTCAGAAAGGTGTCTGCTGTGCAGTATTTATTTTTCAAGATTTAAAATGCATATTTCAGTTGTGCAGGACAATAAAATGTGTTAAAAGGCTGGTCAGATGATCTGAGGAGATCATTGGGAAATTGGAGGATAATGAAAATTCGAAGATGATAGAAATTACTATTTTTCATATTGATTAATTTGGCGATTGGAATACAGGGATAATAGAGACCAGGGGAGGATTTGGGAACAAATTGTAGAATCACAGAATGGTTAGGATTGGAAAGGACCTTAAGATCATCTAGTTCCAACCCTCCTGACATGGGCAGGAACACCTCATACTAAACCATGTCACCCAAGGTTTTGTCCAACCTGGCAATGAATTCTTAAATGGGAATTTACTGTCATTATGATGAAAGCCTTACTTCAGTGGAACAACTTGTCCTTTGTATGAAAGTGTCCTTCTCCATGAGGGACTACTTAAATAACTCCGATCCATTGGTTATCTGTTTTAATCTCTAGTGATTACTTTATAGATTCCATGCTGTGCAGAGAGTCCAGGCTCATAGTGAAGGGCAAGAACTAAAAAACATGTTTGGAGTTTAAATTTATTTGAGAATAATTTAACATAGCTTTTTTTCAGTCTCAGCATCAGTTTTTTTTTATCAAACAATTTATGCCTGTAACAGAAGTAAAAGCAGGACTGTGGAAGGTGGAGATGACATGCAGTCTTTTCAGGAAAAAAGCTGTGAGCTCTTTTGAAAATTGGAATCAAAGTGACTCCTGCTGTGAGAAAAGCCTGCTAAAATTAGCCTAATAAAAAGTCATCTGAGAAAAGTGTATATGCCTGGCAAAATGTTTTCTTGTTTCTGCAGAACTCTTTCAAGTGTACAGATGTGGAAGGAAAGGTTCTATCTCCAATTTAGATAACTGCGAATATCCAGACACTAGAGCCAGCCTTTCATCAAAGCTCTATTTCTAATTCTGTCTTTGTAATCTTTACAGACAAGCTAGAGGCTGTTATCAGGGGAATAATAAATTCTACTCCAAATAGCAATAAAATACAGTATGTTGTGGATGGCTACTCTTGCAGAGGGTGTTAATGATAATAAATTCTTTTTATGCAAAACAGTGATTTTTATGTTTTCATTTTCAGGTGAGAACACAGTCCTGTGCTATTTGGGCACAAATTAAAAGTAAGTCGATTTTTCCTTCAAAGAGAAAACAGAAGTTGTCATGGCTGTGCTTAACAGCATGATCTAATAGTTGCTGTGGCTGTTTCTAAATTTGCCATTAATTTTTGGTTGACTGTGAGGAGTGGAAAGGTTAGTGGCAGAAAATGTGTAAACATTCGCCTCACCTAACAAAGGAAATGGCACCACTCCCTAAAGACTAAATTGTGCTTTTGAGTTGGAAGACTTGCAAATTGGTGTTTGGAAATGCAGTGACATTGAAGAGTGAGACAGTACTTTGGAATGAGACTGAATTATGTGGTGCATGGAGGGCTTGAGGTTCATCTCCTCCCCTGTTCACAAAACCCATGTCTGACTGTTGCTATTACTGTTCTGGTGACGGTCGTGTTTTTATTTCTAGGTTGCCTTTGGCTGTTTATTCTTGTTGCTTAGTTCATTTACCACCGCACTTAGAATATAATCTAGGCAGTTTGGTTGTGGAGACTTGGCTGTAATAAAGGATTCCCTAGGTTTCAGGGCTCTATTGCTAGAACAGTATAGGCAAGAGGTCTGGAAAGACAGAAAACTGACCTCTTCTGAATTTGTCATTTTTCTGCTTACAGAGCATCATCAGAGACTGCCTTATGTGTAGGTGGATTTTGGGTTTGGGATTAAAAGAATGGCCATTAGAAGATGGGAGTAGGCCAGACCAGGCCTTTGCCTTTCTATTGTAAATCTGTTTGCCTTTATATTGAATATACTTCTAGACAGTGTCCTTGGCCTAATGTAATTCTGGAGCTGGAGAGCATGAGAGGGTTTTTTTGGTTCACTGAATTCTTTGACAAGTATTTCTTAATTCACATTGTGTGGAAGGAAAATGTGTACATAAATCTAAACCAAATGGGCGTGTTTCAGATGGTGTCTAGACAAAGCTACGTTGTATGATAAATCATTGTCATAGACAGTGGTAGGAAGCTGTTAGAAGCACACTTCTGTCACAAATAAGTAAAATGCATTTTGAGGATTTTTCACCACATACATAATAATGTTTAGGGAAGACAGTTTTGTCATTTTTGTAGACATCTGACATCTGCTCTAGAGATGCATAACTTCTGTATGGAAACCTGTGTTACAGTGATACGAGGACAAGTATAACTTTTACCAAAAGTGAACATGCCTTCAGGATGAGCATAGTCTCCTTGTAGGGTCCTTGTCTGAAATTCTTTATTTTACTGTACTTACAGTAAGTTTATAGGTGTGGTGCTACACAGATACAAGCCTTGCTTCACTGAGCAGTGCTAGAGAAGGATGGTAAACTGGTCAGGTCCTCCTTAACGCTTTGTGTGACATTTTGTGCTTCATATCAGTTGTTGAGGGTGTTTTGGGTGCATGCCCAATCAGTTTTGTGCCTGTACATTCAGATGAGCCAAAAAATAATTCAAGTAACAGAAGTTACTTTCCTGATATTCAGGTGCTTAGATTCTTATTTCGACATACACAGCAATTTCACTGAAAAAATGCTGCTCTTTTGAGAATTCAAATTTTTGATAAAATATTAAATACCTGTGGTTGCAAGATTTAACAGCATGTGGAGTTATGGAATCTTGCAGAAATAAGATCCAGCATCCTAGATGTCTGTGGGAAGCCCAGTAAGGAATAGGTAACCTTTGACTAATGCTGAAAATGGAATAGAGGTGACTGGAAGGGATTGATTGAGTTCCTGTCTTCTCAAGTTACCTTTAACAGTACTTCTGAGTAATTCTGGTTTTGACAGCAAATCACTGTTAGCCTTCTGTTCTATCCCTGCATGACTTCTGATATTATGGGCTTGGGTAAAGTTGTTGATGCCAGTTTTATTTCTATTCTGTCACTTGGAAAAAAGTATAAATAAATAAAAGAATGGGGAGGAGAAGTCTTGCCTAGATTGCACAATTTTTAAAGGAAATGCGTTGAGCCATTTCATAAAGCACTAGGATTTTCTGGCACCAGAGACCACTTTAGAATATGATTTAGACTGAAATTGACAGTGATGAGAGGGAAAAATGTTGGCATTGAGTATCTGAAATTTAAAAAAAGAAAAAGGAAAGAAAGGAAAAGACAGGAAACTGAGGAATGGAGAATCATAGAATCACAGAATAGTTAGGGTAGAGTAGTTAGAAGTGTAATTACTTTTGAGAAATACAGCATTTAATCCTACTTCCTCAACTGGATGGTAACTACTAGATAGTCAGCTCCATTACTACTTGACTGAGCAGTCAGTCCAGCATCTGGGTTTTGTTAAGAGTACTGTAGCTTTGAGCAGACTCAGTTACCGGGCAGAAGCTACACTATTTGATATTTGTTTGAATTGTTTGATATTTTCTTTCAGATTTAGCACCCACTCCTACTCACTACATGACTGCTGTTGGATTAGGGTCAGTTGCTACTGTCTGCCTTATACTGTTTCTGACATTCTCAGCAGCTCGGTATGTATTGTTATGAACTCCAATTTCATAGTCCTTCTGCACAAGGCTTACGTGTTTTTCTTGCCAATCTGCTTGGTTTAGACTTATTAGAAACTATTATCATATTAGAAGCTATTATCAAAAGTTCCTTCAGTGGTGCGAGCACTGCCATTGCTTAAACTGATGCCCTCTGATGTACTTTTCGTATAATAAGAGCCGATTTCTAGTCTTTCCAACTTTATTCAAAAGGCCTAAAAGGACAGGTTTTCAGTAGCAGTTGATCTTGGACACAATAAAAAGACAATAAAGGACACAATAAAAACATGTTAGAACATGAATTGATTTATTTTTGTTTTGTGATCCTTCATGCAGTAACTTTCTAACTGTCTTTCTTTCAAAGGTAAGACAAGTATGTGCCTATAAGTAACCATGAATGTCTGTATGTGTGAAATCTCTTGACTATGAAGTATGTCTTTGACTTTGACTTTAAAGTACGTCTTCTGTTTTAATATGAAGACCACTCTTGGGAGCTGGGAAGTATAGAACAATGATCAGTTGAAATTTTTATTTGGCATTCTGAAATAAGAGCTAGTCTTCTACAGGGCTGGAGAAAGTAGAATTATTTGGATTGTCTGTAGTTGTCTAAATTTCAAATCAGTTCTTACAATCTAGATTTCAAACTAAAGATTCCATGGTGTCTGTCTTTTTGTAATTAAAGAGAGGAATCTCAGGGTTGCCTTGGCAATAGGATCCAGTGGTAACTTGAGCTTGCAGTCTTACTTGTTTTGAGTTTTTTAGAAAAATATTGTCAGATTCAGTTTTGCCATGTGAGGCAGAAGGACCATTAACTAACTGCCTTTGTGTCTAAACCAGCACACCTGGCAGAGGGAGGGCTTGTTGCAGGAGGAAGGGCATCCCTGGGCTGTCATGGTCTGAAAGGCTCCTCAGTTATTACAGTTTCTCTTGTGAAAATTCATCAGAAGTATAGAAATACTTGATGCTAATTGGTGTTAGATCAATTAGCATCACAGTGATTGGAAAGCTATTTAAGATAATAGACAGTACTAGAAGATTCACGTGTGAATCTAAACTAGTTGTGAGTGAGTGTAGAGAAAATTAGGTACTGAATTTCCATTTTGGTCTTCTTTTAGAAGGAGTGAGAGCAAAAAAAGACCCATACTCAGGGAGCTGAGTATGTTGAGTACATTTGACAGGAGTCATGCTGTAATGTAGGGTAATGTTGGGGGATGTGACTTGATAATTCAACAAGTATCTTTTAGGCCCATGTTCCCCTGTACAGAAAAATCCTTGGATCCGTTTGCCCATTTTAGAGAATATCAGGCAGAATCCTTTGCAGAAATTAAAGCTGCCCCATCTCAGTAGGAGGCAGAGAAGGAAAATCCCAGATGTTAGTCATGGGATTCACAGTGCTTGCAAGTAGATGTAATGTTGATAAATAAAAAATACTCTTAGTTTTAAATAAGCATCAGTTTCATGCATTTCTGATTAAGAACATAATTTGAAAAAAACATGCAAAGTCAGCCTTTTGTCCTGCCAGTTGTAAAGCCATGGCCCTGTTTTAGGCAGTGTACTCCAAGAAGGATGTGGCCCATCAGGAGAAACAGAGGAACTCAACAAGAGAGAGATGAGATCTTTCTGATCTAGCTGTGACTAAAAATGTGCTAGTAGGTTGCCTAACCTGGCAGAGAAGAGACTGCCAAAAAACACATGATAAACGAGTATACAAAAAGCCATTATAGAAAGACCAACTTCCTCCTGTCCATATTTCCTGTGATATGTGTACCATCCATGGGCATTATACCTGTGTGCTTCTGAACAGTAGGAGGAGGGGCATGGGAACAGATTGCTGTGAATGCTGTGAGACTTCGGCTTCTGGGAGTCTGCAAGAGCAGGTTAAACATAGTCAGGAATGACACAGCTACAGCTGGTCTTGCCATGGCATCGGGTGAATGGTCTTGGATTATTTCTTGGCATCCCTGTAAGCTTTCCTGTTCTGCAGCTTCTGTCACAGAAAACTGCTGTATTCATCAGCTTGCCACATGTCTGCCACCTCAGGGGTTATATTACCACAGTGGGACAGATTGTGAATTCCTACTGTGATGATTGCTGACAGCAGTTTTAACTGTTCCTCAGTGAGTAGAAGTCTGACACTGGATTCACAAAATGCACAGCCTGACTACTGAAGTCCTTAGATATTATGAATTTTTTCATTAAAAAAAAAAAAAGCGTTAGCCTGTAGTTCTTATTATTAAGTTGTTTTGTCACATTCTCACTTACTTCATTCCTCTTTTAATTCCTTTTATATGTGATGCCCATAAGGACAGTGCCAAAACTTCAGCTTTCTGGAGTTCTGCACTGGACATGATTGTTGTCAATGCCAAGGGTAATATAGGTCAGGTAGTGATCAGACCCTATGGGAATGCTTCCTACCCATCTTGCGCTAGCTGTAATATTAAGAATTGATACCAGCAACCTTAGGTCTTCAGAAAACTTCAGAAACTCTGTTGTTTATCTCATCACTATGAATGATGCAAATTCTCTGTCAGGTCAAGAGTTGAGTCTTGAATGTTTTTTAACTATTTTCTTTTAACTGGGTTTTTTTCTCATTCTCCAGCTCTTATCTCCACAACACAGTGAGCTCCCCACCTGCTGCTTTAGCCTGCGAAGCTGTGTATTTATCTGCCACAGTGGACACATCACAAATGGGGATTACATCGTCATTCCTAGAGACTGAAAATGTGTCTCTTCTCTGAAGTGTTAGCCCCTGAAGTCAGCATAGAGAAAATGCGCTCTTCTTGCTAAAGCCAGCATCTGATGAATATAGATGTATCTGCATAGCATATAGATACTACAGCACGGGCAGTTAAAATGTGTGTTACTGGAAGTGAGATATTTATTGTCTCCCCTTTTTCCAGGTGATGTGGTATGTGAAAGAGAATCTTCCTTCACAAACAGGCTTGTGTCAGGGACATTATCATGCATCCCGTGCGTTGGCCAAAGGCTTTCAGCTATTACAGCTACATAATGTAATAATGCCTGATAATGAGTGTCTGTATTGTACTTTATTACATGAATAATCTCCTGATCCATTTGAGACTGTTGTGAGGATCAACTGCTACTTCACATACTTTAGGACACATAAACTGGTCCATTATGAGAAAAATCACAGATTAACACTTATGTCAGATAAAGTGCCTATTGTATTTCCAAGTATAAAGGTAGATGTTCATCAGTCACTTAGAAGTAATAGTACTTCAGTAATAAGTACAGAGTTGTTAGCCATAAAGTTGTCACATTCAAACAGTGTCAGCAGTAAATATGTTCCAGAGGCATTGCAATCATTGCTCATAGCAGTTAGCAATAATTGCAAATAATATACCAATCTATAAAAATGCAGTTTGCTGAAAAGTTGAGTAGCCTTAATGGCATGTGAAACTAATTTAAGTAAGGAGCTACCTGTGATAAATGCAATTTTGTTAATATCTGTTCTGTAATTACTTCTGAGTAGAGTCATTAAATCATTATCTGGTTAATGAGCTGGTGTGTAACATCTGGTTAGAGTCACTTAATAAAGTACAATTAACCAATTTCCTATGTCATATTCCCAGTTAATATTTTTTCCTTCTGTAAGAAAGAATCAAATCCCTTTGATTATTTCCACTCCTGATCAGAAGTTGCTTTGAGATATATTAGCAAAATCATTCTGTTAACTGGTGAAATAAAGAAGCAAGAGTTTTGGTTTTTAGTTAGTTTTTTTCATTTTTATTTCCAAGTTATGTTTTGTGTGTTTTCTGTTTGAATGTTAATAATCATACCCATTTTTGGAATTCTGAGTGTTCCCGCTTCCTGCTGGCTTTATAATTTTAGACTGGATGTGTAATTCCCTTTTTGGTGTGTTAGAAGGGTATTTTAAAGCATAACAGCAGACTTCATAGCAGAGAGGAATTACAATCAAAGTTACATGAGAGAATTTTTAACTGCTGTAGCTATCTGGGGGTTCTTTTTCAGATCTGGGCAGATATAATTTCTGTTAGCCAGCATTTCTACTGCTTACTAAATCTTCCTTCAAGTTCAGAAGTTTTCTGTAGTTAGTAACTGAGTAAGAACACCTTTGTCTATGTTAGAGGTTAAGGGTTGGTAATATTTTTCTTTGCTGATTGAAAAAGAACAGCTTAACTGTTCATACTGGGCTACTGTTACTTTTTTTCTGTTGTTTTTGTTTCTCCAGTAGAATTCATTCTCACACATTCTGCTCAGAATTTCCTTTCTCAGTGGAATAGGTTGCCAAGGTTTGGCATAGCGGCACAAACTGCACCACTTCATTCTGGTTTATTCTCCTGCTGGTCCTGGAATAAAGTTCATGAACAGCTGTAACTAAGTAAGGGAGAGCTGGAGAGGAAGGGAATGATTTGAAGAGACAGACATGACATCCTCTGTTAAAGAAAACTTCTTTCACCTTTTACTAAGACCAGCAGTGTTCCAGTACATTATGCGGGACCAGGAGCAGGAAGTCCATCTTGTCAGTAGGTGTAGTTGGAAAGTTAGGTCTTCATGTAACCTTCAACAAGTGATTTATTTTCTGTGTGTCTCTTCTTTACCTAGCTTGTCTTTTCATAATGTAAAGTTTTCAGAGCAGGGTTTCTTCTTAACAAATACCCCACTTCTGCTTGGGCTTACATAATGTATGTGATGACTTGTTTGGTATCTCTGCACAGTAGAGCAGTGCAGCATATGGTATCATTCAGTAATACCCAGGAATAGACCGATAAGGGAGAAGCAATGAGGTAGGACTCCCTGCCATCTTAAGTTCTCCAAAACAGCTAATGTCCTGTAAGTTTCCCTCTTTCCCTATGTAAGTTTCCTCCTCCTTTGTCACTCTTACTAGACTCACTCTGGCTGTGGGCCTGTCTTCATCTGTCATATACTTATCTTTCTTCCATCTACATCTGTTTCAGTTTAATGTGGGAAGCGTAGAGAAATAATTTAGCCTTGTGCTCCTCAGATGATTGTTCAGATGTTAGCTCATTTGTTGTAGTCCTTCTCTTTCAGAAACATTGCTGTATTGCTCCCAAGCTTTCCAATTATATCTTTAAAATTCTTTTTAAGGGAAAGTAAAAAGATTCAAACAGTAGGAAATTAAGAAGTAGCTAGATTAGAAAAAGGTTGTTAAAGGTCCTACTTAGAAGAACTATTGTAGGACCGGACAAAAAGCACAATACGAAATTACAGTGGCTGTAGTTAAAAGTACAGTTGTAGAAACAGGCCAGTACAGTGAAATTGTACAGCTAATGAAGGCCAGTTTTCTGACATTTCATCCATTGTGATAGGGTGTCACTGCAAATACAAACTTAGATTTCTGATTTACAAAAATACTTCTTAGGAAAATATAATCCTAATAGGTGCCACTTTGAATGAAGCTTTGGAATTAGGAGTGTGTCTTTAGGGGTACTTTTGTTGCTCAGACTTATAATCCTTATACACTTTATGGAATGATCTAGTGGCTCTGTATTTTACACATAGCATCCTGCCAAACTAAGTGCAACATTGACATAATCACACCCTCACAGTCTGAGAAATTATAGTCATTTCTCATGATCCTTCACTGCTGTACCTTGAGTTAACACTGAAATTCTCCTTTTTCTTCCAATGTTTTTTGCTCTGCCTCCTCAGGTACATCACACCCAAGCCTAGTAAGGTAAAGCCAACTGAAGCTGGTCTGCCTCACCTTCTGATCTGTTACCCATTCATGGTGCTATATTGAGAAACTGGTTTAGCTACACACCAGTGTCTGCATTATCTCTGAAGTTTTTTTGTCTATAGAGGAAACAGGAAATTGTTACCCCTGGATAAACAATGCTGTTTAAGCTTAAGTCAAACCTATTTTTATGTTTTATTTTGTAATAGTGAGAGAACATGCAGATTACTGTAAAAATCCAGCATGTAATTGTAATGGTGTAATTGTAATGGTGTAATTGTAATGGTGTGTCAAATGAAAAACCTTTTATTGTAAAATACACTTTCTACTACATGTCACTAATGGGTCCTTTAAATCTTCTGGTGAGATTTCTTTGTTCTGGGCACGATAGAGACAGACAGAAGCTATCCAGGCTTTTTTGTTTGTTTTGGTATTTATAGTCACAGTTAGTTGTATGTACAGGGCCAGGTCTGAGGGCCAGTATGCTCCTTGTTTCTACACACGGTCTCAGATTTAACTGTTCTTAGTCACCGTTCCTTTTTCCCAGGTCTTGTACTGTTTTGCAGAGCTATTTCATATTCTGCAGCATTCAGTCAGAGAACAGCATGAGTGGGCAGATCCATGATCTCTAGTTCAGATGGAAGTATTTCTGTTCCTAGTAATAGCATTGCTAGGAAGTTATGAAAGTGTCTGAAAAATCTAGGGCTGGTGCCTCAGGATGACTTTCTGAGAGGACTGTGAAATTAGTTGATGATCTCAGTACTGAGCTCTAATGGAAAGGGACAAGTGTCAGCATTGCAAAAGCACACCTCCACAGCTGTAGATCCTGGCAGCAGGAGAAATGGGTCTATGAACAGCAGAGACACTCATTCCTTTCAGCTATGTCAGAGATGAGATGACAGTATCTGTGGTATGGCTATTATGGAATTATTTCCATTTTGAGGCTAAACAAAAATGGCACCTTTACAGTCACAATAAAAAGGGGGACCTGCTCTGAAGTTATCGCCTTCCCTCCTTCCCCAAATGTTTGTGTGTATTTTTTCCAGAAATACTGCTTTTGTTCCTGTAGTCTTGCTGAATAAGGTAGTGTGAACTTTTGTGTTTTTCCACCTAGAGGCAGCACAATTGATGTACTTCAGTTGCAGTTTATATTTTATGTTCCTTGTTGGATCACCACGTTGTGAAAAACTATAAAATTATATATGAATAATGTATGCGTGTGTGTGTCTATGTAGTTTGTTCTGTTTCTTCTGTTTCACTTAAGAAGCAACTGAAAATACAGTCAGAATTTGACAGCAAGGGTGGGGAAGTTCAGTTTCTGACCCCAAGAGTATAAAAGGATTAATAAAGTGAAAGCAACAGAGAAAGTATTACAGAAGTAAAGCCAGTTCTTAATAGCAGGTAATTTCCAGGCCTGCATTTTCCTGAGCAGCTTTTAGCCTGTAATGTTTTAGCTTGACTTTGAAGACAATTCATATAAAAGTCTCTCCTGCAGACATCCTGGGAGAAGCGAAAAGAGAGCAGAGTGGGTTGCGGTAGTCTGATGAAGATGTTTCAGGCTAATGGGCACAAATGAGCTATGCCAATACACTAGATAAAGACTAACGTTAACAAGAACATAGCGGTGGTCTAAGTCAGTCCTCAGCTTTTTCTTTTAGCTGCATAAAATAACCTACACAATTTTGCTTTTGGCTAATGAAGATGTGTCTTTTTGCATTCCTGTGAATTCTGACCTGTTCTAGGTATGTTATTTCCATGTGTACAATTGGCCAGTCCTTTCCTAGAACCTGGAATAGGGTTATTCAGGCACACAGAAGCAGAGCTAAGTGAATGTGGAATGCCAAATGAGTAGTAATTGTAAATAGAAATTTCTCAGCAGTGCTTCAACAGCAGTTCATTTTTGCAATATTCCAGTCTTTTACTGGGAAATGAATAAAATGTGATTATTACATGATTATGCAGCATTTTTCAGAACAGTGATTTGACTGATTTGTGGCTAAATGAAATCTGGCTCCTTCCAGTTCTGTTAAATACTACCTTACCCGTTTTATTCTTCATGGCTTTTAATCTGCCAGATTTTAATTTTTATTACAATAAACAGGGTCAAAATTGAGCATACATCCAGATATTCTGAGGAATTCCGCTTTCTGCTGCAGATTTTCATTAAATTCCCTTGAAATTGTAGAATTACTCAGGTTCTCACACCATGCCACTTCTTTCTAAATGTAGCACAATGGTGTATGCTTGCATTGGTTCAGAATTTTCTCTTATATTTTAACTCAAGCCAGAAAGATGAGAACAGAGAGACAAATAACATTCTGCATTTTCACAAAGAGATTGAAAGGAGTAGCTGTAAGAAGGATTCCTAGTATGGCCACAGCAATATCCAAAGGTTCTTCAGCAGTACTATTACACTGTCTACACAGGTCAGTGTGAAGCAAGGTAGGTGGGAATTTCTAGGTGCACATTGCCTTTGTGGCAATTTCCTTTTCTTGTTCAAAGATGAAATTTCATCCTTTTTTGTTTTTGTTTTTTTTTTTTTTTTGTTAAGTCTCACCAGATTTTTGTATTGTTCAGTCCAACAGCATTTGAGATCATGGATCATGTAGTTAGGATCCTGCTGATCCGTTCTGCTTTCTGGTGGGATTCCTGGGAGTTTGCCTTTTCATCCCACATCCCTATAATTACCACAGCAGGACTGATTCATGTTTTTCAAACAGACCAGAATGTTTGAACAGATTTTCATGTATTAGCTTTGGGCATTTTGCAGTGAAAAGCCATGCCGTCCTTGACAAGGTATAACAAGTGTTTCTTTATCCCATAATATGGTTATAATAATAATTCAAGTGCCCATTCTGGCTTTGACCAGATTCATCCTCCAAAACAAAAGGCAAAGTTCATGCATTGAAAAGGATTGCATTTTGAGTGACAAAGTAAGTCTTAAAAGACAATGACTTTGTAATCACAGAAGTGATGAACTCAGAATACTTTGTAGAGTATCAGCAAGCAAGAATACTACTGTAGTATGACCCAATTTATTACCATTTAGA